CCGGAGTACTTTTCCGAGGAATAGTTCCGATAGTTCCTGGGATTTTGCGTTCACACCAAAAAGATCTGGAACTAGAACTTTTTTGCTAACCTTTTCACCCCTTTTTAGTGCCTGCTAGAGAGCAGGGACTTTCCTCGGGAGGAAAAGGTTCCAATTTCTGATTGGCTGGGCGGATTGCAAACCACGCCCCGTAAAACTCGGGAAAGTTTTGTGAAGCCGCCATTGTATTTGCTGGCATTAGCATTATTAGCATTAGCATTAGCCCAGCGCACCAACGGAGAGAGACTAATTTATGGCAACACAAAAAAAAACGTGGGAGCGGTGGAGATGAGGAGGTGTCGGTGTTCTGGCGATTTACTCAGAAGGCTTCAGTAGAAGCTGCTGGGAGTCCCAGCAGCTTCTACTGAAGCCAGTCCCCAACTCCGGGGACTTCCGGCCAGGGACTTCTGGTGGCAGTATACGCCGTGAAGTGGTTTGCGGCCTGCCAGTAAACCCAAAGCAGAAGAAGAAGAAGTGACGTCAGCGGCTTCATTTGCCTAATCCTCCCTCAGGGATTTATTCCGGAGTGAACGCGATCGGCTCTTTAGTTCATCAGAACTAAAGAGTTCCGATTAACTAAGTACTAGGAACTAAGTACGGCAAAGTACTTGGTGTGAAAGCGCCTAATGGTGCTCTGGGAGGAGATTCAGGTGATTGTGTGGGGGGGGGGGGTTACCTTGGTTGCTGATTGGCTAATGGTTACACAAGCCAAAAATTCGTTATGACATCATAAAGTGGCCAAAATCTGAGGTTTTTATATAAATGGATCAGGACAAAAAGTGAGCGAATCTTTTTTCCTGAAACTTTCAGAATCTCTTTACATGTTGATGTAGAAAAGACATGAATAAGTGGATTTTACCTATTTTTTTAATAGGTGACCTTTACATTTCCCATTTCTGCCGCCAAAGTCCAAATGACTTCCCTCAGCCTTCTCTTCTCTAGGAACCAAATCAAACAGTGGCTTATCGGCTATAAGGTGAGCATCCAAGCACCTGGGCCGAGCCGCTCCATCAGCCAATCAATGTCCACGTCACTCTGAACATGGAGCAGTGACAGCTGGCCAGATTGGGCCGGTAACGACCGCCAGGAAGAAACCCAGAGAGGACCTTAATTGAACTCAAGCGGGCGAGGAGGAATTTTTACCTGCCGCTCTATTCGTGTCTGTGTGACCTTTTGTCTCTCCGTGTGGGTCATTCAATTACTTACATGCAGCCTTATTTTTGTCTCTGGAGTGAATTATGAAGTAGGGAAAACATAGATTAGTGTAGCCCATTTAGGTCTCTCTGGGTAATTTAGTAAACAACCTTGTTTGTCTCCAGGAACAGATTTTCAGGCTTGTGAGGAAATTCATAAAGGAACATTGGCATAATCTTGTAATTTCTTCTGGATATCGTTATGTGTGGTCTTTTCCTGGTTTAAAAGTCTGTATTACAGTACAATTATGCAACTCTTTTAATTCAATGCCCAGTTTTAGTAGGTCTTTCTTTTATTTCCTGTTACCCACTAAGTCATTACATCGACATTACTGATGATTATTTACATTCTAATTGTGTAAATTAAGTTTAAGCATCAATGGTAAACCCTCATACATTTATATACCCTTATTAGTCCCACTGAGGGGAAATGTACACTACCAGTCAAAAGTTTGGACACACCTTCTCATTCAAAGTTTGTTATTTATTTAAATTATTTCTACATTGTAGATTTATACTGAAGATATCACAACTATAAAAGAACACATATGGAATTATCTAGTAAACAAAAAAGTGTTAAAAAATCCAGAATATAATTTATATATTGCTGGCTACTGCAGAATGCTGAAAAACAAAACCTTGAATGAGAAGGTGTGTCCAAACTTTTGACTGGTACTGTCCATTGTGCATTTGTCCCATCCTTGTGTTAGGAGTAGTATTTACAGTGCCCAGGAAACAGTGCCTAGCTCAGGGACACCTTGGTAGCACTTGGTCTTTCCGGGACTTGAACTGGTGACCTTCCAGTTCCCAAGACAAGTCCCGATGGACTTTGCCACCACCGCCCTATCGTCACAATATCGATGGAGGTATTTGGTCAAAGATATTTCGATGTCTAACTTTGTCCATATCGCCCAGCCCTACTGGATTGTGATTAAATGTACACCTGACATCAATTGGAACTTACATTTTAGCCAACATAACCAAAAATCCACACATTTTAAGTCAAGATCCAATACCAGTGTTTCTTATTTGACTAATTGAATTCGAATATGAAGTGCTTTATAAATGGAACCCATTATTATTATTATTATTAATTTCACTAGAAAACTATCAACCATGAGCTGCAGATGATACCTTTTTCACAAGACGAGGTATAGATGGAAGACAAAGGGAAGCGGTGCATGATTCCGTGATTTTGTTCCAGGAGCGATGTTGTGTTCCTCCCACAGCTGAGAACATCTAAATTTAGACACACCCTTCGTCACACACCCTTCCTCTTCTCTTCATCGTCAGCCCCTCCTAGCCTCCTCATCCACCCTTTCCCCTCCAACACAGAGACATGAAAGCCCCCGTGGATAAAATATCGACAGCTCTCCCTGCGTCAGACAAGTGTCAGCTGTGCCTCAGTGCGTGCCTCAGTGCGTGCCTGTGTGTGTGTGTGTGTGTGTGTGTGTGTGTGTGTGTGTGTGTGTGTGTGTGTGTGTGTGTGTGTGTGTGTGTGTGTGTGTGTGTGTGTGTGTGTGTGTGTGTGTGTGTGTGTGTCTGTGTGCTCACTGCCCATTAGCCATATGGCAACCATGTCAGAGCTGGCATGAGAACATATATGAAGTAAACTCACATTCTACACTGTCCTTGAAAGTGATCTCTTTCCTCTTGCTTATATTTCTCAAATAAATTCCCATTTGTTTCCCAAAACAGTGTTAGAATTTGTTGCGTGTGTGATTTCGAGCTGCAACTAATGATTATTTTCCCATTTCTTAACAGTGTAATATGCAAAATGTCCCAAAAATAAAGAAAAGCGCTCATCAAAAAGGTCTTGGAAGGGGACTTCCTCCGAATGTCTCGCTTTGTCTGACCAACAGTCCGAAACCCAAAGGAATCCCCGTAATCTCACCGATGACAAAAACCCTTAGCAAGTATTCACATTTGAAAAGCTGGAACAAATGAATGTCAAACATTGAAATGACATTTTAAATAAAGAATAATATATTTTGATACCTCAAACGTACGAACTGTAACAAAGCGAACAAGCAAAGAAAGACAAAAGCAGACTAGTTCGATGTTTCGGGAGGAGAAACCTAGTGTGCTGATAGGATATGGGGAGATGAACACAGCACTCGTTATCAACAAAAAAAGAAATAATATAATTAAATTGAAATGAGAAACATTCCCTGTCCCTTTTGGCCCTGCCTCTCAGCCTTTAACAAGCCTCGGTGTGCAACCTGTTTTTCCTATTTCCCACCAGGAGTCACTGGCTTTGTGTTTGTTACCGAGGTTCAAAGCAAGAAACACTTCAGCTGCAGCTCTGCAATTATCCTCACAGGAGACTCATAGTAGGACATAGTGCCGCTATCATTGCTATTCAGCTACCATTCAAACAAGCTGCCACTGCTACAAACCCACTTCAGAGTGCAACACAATGGTGCTTCAGGTTTAAAAAAAAGACTCATTACCAAATGCCACAGAAGGTGAAGCCAGTGAGAGCTTGTTTAATTAGATATTACAGGTATAAAGGCAGTGCATCAACTACCCTTTGGAGTGTATTAGGCTAATATCATTGTGCTTAAACTGAACCGATCACTGTCCTGTTAGACTAGAGTTGGAACATTTTGAAAGCCAACCAAGTAGGGCAGGGGTCTCAAACTCAAGGCCCGGGGGCCAAATCCGGCCCGCGACTTCATTTTATGTGGCCCAGCAAGAGCTTGCAAAGAATATAATACGTTTATTATACGGTTACATGCCACTTTACAGAAGCAGGTTACCCATAAACTACATGTCCCACAATGCATCTCGTTTTGTGACATGCGCACTGAAGAGACTTGCAATTATTTGCCCTGGACTTCTGCTTTCAGACGTAGTTAATTACTAAGTTATTGTCCCATCCGATAATAATCCAATTCAGAGGCAATAATGTAATATAATACATTATTTTATATATATATTATATATTTATATAGTTACAACCGGCCCTTTGAGTGCAACCTTTATGCGAATGTGGCCCGCGATGAAATTGAGTTTGACACCCCTGAAGTAGGGCGATTAACTTCTTAACATTCAATCTTCATTTAGAAATGAATTTGATTTGCAGTTTTAAATCCAAACACAAATTGAAAATGGCTTCTATTTGGGTTTGAGGTTTAGAAGAAAACATAAGCCAAGGAGGGAAGAGAAAGAGAAACAAGGGAGAGGTAACAGTGAATACTGAGAATCAGAAGAATGGAAGTTGGAGTCATGAAGAGGAATTAAATGGGGAAAGGTACAAAAGGAGTGAGAAGTCACACTGACCTAGCTCAAAAGGTCCAAATGTGGGAACAAATTGGATTTGAATGGTGCTCAAAAGTCATGTGGAGAATCCAGGAAGCAACACTTTCGCTGGCAGTGAGACTAAACTACAACTGGATTATGTTGTGCAACCCTGTTTTGCATAATGACAACAAATGATAATTGAATATTAATTGACTTATGGAGGTTGTCCCAATATTAGAACAGTACATTGAAAACATTTGAAAAGTAAGTAACAACTTCTACTACCAAGAGACATTGGAAGTGGAAGTGATCAGATATTATTTAATTTAAACAAAAGAGAACCAAATGGGGAGCCAACATTTTATTAAAAAAAGAACACATTTTTTACAGCACACTTTCCCAGAATACCCTTATGCATCTCGTTGAATAGACCTTGAGAATTAAATTAGAAAATCTTATTTAACTTATTTAATTATACTTAATCTAAAAAGTTCCCATCCAACACACTGACTGTAAACTGACCTTGCTGGTTGAGCTGCTGTGTGCTCTTGCTCCACTGCGACAACCCCACAATGGCCACCATCTTGGCGCCGAGGCTGGAGCGCCGCTTCTTGTTTCCAGCCAGAGACGTGGAGTCCGCCGCCCCTCCGCTGGGACTCTTCTCCACGTTGTACATCGTCCCCGAGATGCTGGAGGAGCGCACCACGTTACGAGCCGCCGCGCTCAGACCGCTGAGGCCGCTGAGACCGTTCATCCCACCCGGGCTGGGCACCTCCACAGAGCTGCTGAGCATCATGGTCCTGCTGGAGGGCCGAGAGGCTGGGGGGAAAGGATGTAGAGTTGGAGCGGGGCTGAAGAAGGAAAGAGGACGAAAAAATATGCTTAGGTGAGGGTTGAAGGAGAGAAGAGAGGAGAGCAGCTCAACTCAAAGGACATCTTGATAAACATGCTAAGAAATAACAATGGGAATCCATGAGAGCGATCTGGTTGAAAGGAAAAGTAAAGTACTTCTTTAACTGCTGTGGCTATGTACACTTTTTAGGATAATGTTGCGACTGCCCAATTGTTTTTTTTATTTTATTTTATTTCATTTAATGTATTTTATTTGTATTATATATTTCAATTGTATTTCTTCTGAAATGATGTCCTGTCTTGTCTTTGCCTCTGTTTTTCACATTATTATTTGTGTGTAAGTTTGTGTAAGGTATGGCGTGTCTTGTTGTTTAAAAGAATGAAAAATGTATAAACAAATTGTTTAAAAGGAAAAAGGACATCTTGATGAGCACTGTGTGATGAAATAAAGAATAATCGCTCGTCTTACAGCTGCAGTGACTCCCCGAGGCTGGGGAAGGACACATAGTTTAAATTTCAACCACAGTTCGGTATCCACTTATTGCACAGACAGCATAAATGACATCCTATACCATAAAATCAAAAGTGAAAAGCTCTAAATAGTCTTAGTTTGTAAACATAGAAAACAGAGAACCCAAAAGGTCAGCCAGTGAGGACAGTGCAGATGGCAGCAGACTGTTCCAGTGAGTTAAGAAACACACACTAACACAAATGTCAGGGCTGACCTGCTGTTGAGAGGTGACCTTGTCAGCTGGTATTTTTCTTGTGGGGGTTTTTTATATCTTGTTCTGTGTCTGACCTTATAAAGTGACGCACGATAAACTTTACAGCTATGACAACAGCGTCATCACTGGTTGGCTGAATCCATGGAGAAAATCAACGTGTGTGTGTGTGTGCGTGTGTGTGTGTGTGTGTGTGTGTGTGTATGTGTGTGTGTGTGTGTGTGTGTGTGTGTGTGTGTGTGTGTGTGTGTGTGTGTGTGTGTGTGTGTGTGTGTGTGTGTGTGTGTGTGTGTGTGTGTGTGTGTGTCACCTCTTCCTTGTTCTAACTGACGCACACAGAGTCTCACAACAGGCGTTATTCTCACAGCAGGTATTTTTACATGTCACGGTAGGAAAAGCTAACAGGTTACGTATAACTCGGTGATGGCTTCATTGAACTCAGCAGTAATGGACTGACAGTGCGATAGTTTGAACAAAACCAGGACCCTGAAACTCAAGAACCAAAAATAATTGTATTATTTGCACCGGTGCTTCTCCTAATGTGACATGTCAAGATGTCTTTTGTGAAAAGAAGGACTTCGACACCTCTATCACGCGATATCTCTCTCCTTTTCCTTCTCTCCCCTCTCCTTTTCTCTCCCCTTTACAAAGTGATTATACTGAGGCAGTTAAATATGTAGATTATGCTGGCTCTTTTTTTAACATTTCTCAATTTTTTTTTTTTTCTGTAAAGAGAAATTACAGCAATGCAGTATTTTGTGCGTTGAGTGTCTCGCACAGTTCAGCTGATTCCAAGATTCACCTCACGCTATATGCATGCTCATTTAACAACAATAGGAGCCACGCTATCAGCTCTGTGAGGCCACAGCAGTGCCTAGAGCTGCTAAATGCTAATATCAGCATGCTAACATGTTAACGACAATGCTTACGTTTAGCAGGTATATTGTTGAACAGGTTGTGCTTTCTAGTAAAGTGTGCAAGCATGCTAACATTTGCTAATCAACATTAGACGATACCGCTGAGGCCGATGGGATGTATTCAGTTTTGCATGAGATATTTGGTCATGAACTGAAGTATTGAAAAAACTCAAATGTAGACTTGATGATGGTTCCACAAGAAAGAGATGTGATCAAGTCATCACAATTTATCCCTACTTTTTCCCCTAAAATTATTAGGTACCAAACTTCATAGCAATCTATCTAGTAGTTGCTAAGAATTCCCATTTTCAAACTGTATATGTTAACCTTATGTTGGTAACATAGGAATTAAGATTACTAAAATATGTAGCATTCATCATTTGGGTATGAATGTCTGTAAATGTCATGGCAGTCCAACAATGCCATCTTCCGAGACTGCTTCTAGATCTAACGTGACTTAAAAACATAATCTTTACATAATCCGCAACGAATCGCAGGAAATGGAGCACAAATTCTTTATGCTACTAAAACACTCACTCCCATGACTGGAAGTCATTAATAATACAAATACAGTACAGGGAAGTTGCCCTTAATGCGTCGTTCAAAATGAGGCTGTAAGTGCCCTGTGCTTCAGATGTCTCTTTAAATCATCATCTGTCCCTGCTTGTCACACCAATACAGACATAATGCTTACAGCCAAAAAAATGTTGCTGACTTGCACTTTTCATTGGGATTCATTTAGCAAAACCACAATAACAGCAGTTGCTGCTCTTGAGGAACGGTGGACTTACTGTATGAAGCAAAGGGCAGATTTTGGCATTTTGGAAAGAAACGTATACTAAAAGCCAAGTGGAAGAATGCATGCTTAGTACAAAGCTACTGCAGTGGCATTTGCTTGGTGTGCAAAAGGGTACTGAGGGGAGAGAAAGAGGGAGAGAGAGGAGGCAGGGGTTTAAAATCTGAAATTCAGATGATTCCCTTGCATCATTTTAAAGCGCGGCTGGATGAAATGTTATTAGATACATTGTGAATAGGTTGCTAATTTATACCCCTGTAATTATGTTGTGATGTCCTTTTTGTTTTTATGTGTAACCAATGTACTGCAGGTCTCCCTTGAAAAAGAGATCGTTGATCTCAATGGGATTTTTAACCTGGTTAAATAAAGGCTACAAACAAACAAACAATCCCGTATGCCCGTTTTTTATTCTCCTCTTTTTCCTGCCCACCCTATCTTTCCTATTGCAGCCCATGCGCACTTCTCTCCCGCTCTCTGGGGGGCGTCTGTACTTTGAACACACATCGTGCAAAGCAGGATAAAATGAGGGTAGGGGAGGGAAAGAGAAGGCTGCAAGAGAAAGGATGACAAACAGAATAATTCTGCTTTTAGAGAGCCATGAGGACAGGGAGGCAAAGGACATGGAGAGAGAGGGGAGGGAAGGGAGGATGCTTCATAATGAATGGACACACAGAAAAGTCCTGCAGGAAGCCGGGGCCAGACCTGTGAGGAATGATGGAGTGAAAATGAGAGAAGAAGAAGAGTATGACATTGATTTTGACAATAATTCACCCTCCTCCCCTCTTAATGATGAGATCCTCAGTGTGTGTGTGTGTGTGTGTGTGTGTGTGTGTGTGTGTGTGTGTGTGTATGTGTGTGTGTGTGTGTGTGTGTGTGTGTGTGTGTATCTTTGGCTGAAGACATGCAAAAGTGAAACAGGGTGAACTCAAGTGTACTGCGTATACGCTTTGCCCACAGGACAACAACACGCTTATTAGCCTACCCACGCTGTACCATGAAGCTAGGAGACGTTGGACACAAAAACAATGCTAGTGTTTAATCTATCGTGTGTCTGTGTGAACTTCATAACAAATCAAAAAAATGCTACAGAAGAAAATGTCATATTTTATTAAAGTAGACTAGAGAATGGAGTACCCATGAACATAATAACTTAAAGGAGAGGTGTCATGCTTTTCCGGTTATTACCCGTCCCCTTGTGTGTTATGAAGGTTTTTATGCATGTAAACGGTGTGCAGAGTCAAAACCCTCAAAGTACACCCTGTAGCGAGTAAAACTCTAACACAGAAAATACCTCCCCAAAACGCCTCGTTGGAGATACGTCACTGCCCATTTGAGTCTTCCATTTCGTTCCGGGTACGGCCTGATGTCAAGCGGTACCCGGAACGAAATGGACCAATCCCGAAGAGCCGTTATGTTACGTCCGCGGAGCCGTTACGTTAAGCCCCCGCTGATTGGTCCAAATTGACCGATCCACGGACTTCCTCACACACACATCTGTGTGCAGGGAGCAGGCAGCTCAGCTGATTTCTCCTCCCTGGCTGCAGGCTGATAACAGACAGTTGGGATCGCGGCAAAATTCTCTCTGCAGACCCATTCTCACAGCGTTTATCAACCTTTTTCTTACTCAATATCAAGCCACACTTATTGTTTTTACTTCGGATGTGACTTTGTGTGTGCTCAGGATGAGTTTGGCTGTGTTTCGCTGTGTATCCTAAACAAGGAAACAACACCTCCACGGAGCTCAGCGCGATTCACAACGTCCCGACCAATCAGAGCACACTGTGCTCACAGGGAGGGTGGGGGCTGGAGCTTTTGGAGCTACAACGAGCCGTTAAAGGCAGAGAGTGAAATTCAGTGAATACACGTAGTTTACAGAGATGCTGTATGAGAAACCAATGTGAGTTTGGAAAAATGCACAATATAAATCTATTTTAGTACACCTCAACAATGGAATTATGATCAGTGGAAATGGCCATGACACCTCTCCTTTAGATAGATAGATAGATCGTACTTTATTGATCCCAAATTGGGAAATTGTTTTTGTTACAGCAGCATAAAAGGCATTTTACAATAAAACAAAATATACAAGAATAGAAATAAAATAAAATAAAATATAAAATAAAATATAAAATATACATGTCAAAATACAAAATAGAAAATATACATACAGATATTATATATATATATATATATATACAAATATATATATATTCAAAATATATGGAATTATGGAGTATTAAATTACAATTGTGGTAATGATGGATATGAATAATCTTGGAATTTAAACTAAATTCCCAAACCAACAACTGCATTGCGATTCTCAATCTTTGGAGATGCCACCATGTACCTGTCCCCACATTGTGTTCTGTTGGACCTAAAGGAACATCCCGCAACCAATCAATCTTCATCTCTGTGCACGACAGCTCCCCTGCCGTATGTCTCTGCTCCCTAACTGCTCATCTCAGAGCTAATTTATTTCTCCTGCTGTCAGCAGTCTGCCCCCCCGACACACCCAGCACCTCCTGCACCGCTCAACATCACTGGTGTCCACCCAACTCTGACCC